CAACCGATGTGAGAACGTGATGGGTCTCACCATCCTGGACCAGTTCCTGTGCGTTGGGCCTTTCACTGGCGGTTCTGGCATCACTGCATGCAATGTAAGTCTTCCTATCCTCTCCAGTTATTGGAGCTGGGCAGCTGAGTTCAGGCCGCAATTAAACGGTTACTTTCTTGCGAACCTACTAGGTATACTTTCTCTTCCCCTTTCCCCACATCCGCGAATTTTTGCTCCTTTCTTGAAAAGAACAATTTGAAGCGGTTTGAACTGAGTGTGACTTGATACCATAAATGCAAACGTGGTTGAAGATGAATTGAAAGTCGTCCACGTTATCCTCCAAAATATCCCTTGCAGCTCTCTTCAAGCTCAATTAGCACACAGGGTGTCCACTGGGTCAAAATACGGACTAATTTATATAATTTCTGATTGTCAAATAGGCGGAGGCGAAAGAGGGTCTGTAAGATCTGCCTCCGGAACAGGGAATCCCAGTCTGATGTATTTCTGGATGTGATCGTGATTTCCCCCTCTTTTTCCTACTTAGGGTGATTCCGGTGGACCAGTGGTGCCTATTGGGACAAACAAGGTAGTTGGAACAGCCTCTTTCGTCAGACAGGCTGGCTGCCCAGTGGATTATCCAACAGTCTTCGCTCAAACTTCCTACTTCACTAACTGGATTAGGGACAATATGTTCCCTCTTAAGGAGGAATAAATTTAGCGAATTCGTGAAGTAATCAGACAATAAAGGGTAAACTTTACTAACACATCCGTAATCACTGGAATGATTCTGGTTTCCTGGATCTCGCTCATGGATGGAAGAGAGGCGGGCTTCACCAGCTATTCCCGTCTAAGTTTGTATGACTTATCACGTTAGAATCATTCCGGGAACTTCCAAAAATATGATAGAGCCCAATATTCTTGAGGATTGGGATCGTTCGCAGAGTGCTTCACAGGGCATGTGGCTCATTCACAGAGCCTCGGAAACTACGAAGGAAACACCAATGCATGATTTTGCCTGACTTCTTTTATATTCCTTAAAATAGGCAATGGCAGCATTCAACATCTCATCAGTATAACGAAAAGCATGAGCAATCATCACATTCGCTGTAATTGATATGACATTTAAAAAATCACACATGGGACATCATAATAACACAAGAACACAATGCTTGTTTCTCACCATTAGGTATTTTTGAAAAAAAAAAATCCAATAAAAGATCTCCCTGAGTATAACTCGATAGATCCAGAGAGAGGGGGGAGATGGCACCACAGGGATCAGATGGGACCGAACACGTGCTTCCCACGTGTGTAGTACAAGCTAATGGCGACCACTAAAGCGAGAAAGGCGGCGACGGCGAAGAGGAAAATGAGGAAACGGCGGAAACATCGCCAATTTTTATTCACCTCTTTCTCCTGCAACGGGGCGTCCAATGTGAAGTCCGGTGTCCCGTTCCAACCCGGCTATTACACCCACAGTGATTGAAATTGATAGTTTAATCAGACAAACGAAAATACGAAATCATATCAAGATCCTAAATTATTCATCAGACAATCGCAAGATTACATGGAAAGAAGAATTTACATGGGAAAGCTCATATATGAAGCATGAAACATTCGATTAACACTGTTGAAGGTCAGGGGGAAAATACTGCGAAGTGTGTCAAGACGTAAACTTTGTTCCTGACGAAAATATGGAACATGGAAGCATCTTAACGTTAAATTTGATTGTTTAGGCGGGAATTTTTAAAGAAAATAAGTAAGGCATGCGGACACTTCCTTATGCATGGGAGAGGATACTCTATGGCTCGTCTGTACTGATGGGCTTCAGGAAAGTGTAAGAAAGTTGTATCGAGCTGTGATTTTCAATCCCTGACACTCGTGCCAGTTTTTTGCCTCTGGAATACGTCGTATTTGCAAATATCACAGATACCAATTATAAATACATGAACACAATTTGTAGCAATGCAGACTAGCCGCTGATTATCCACAACTCCACGGCGTTCTGTTACTTTTCTAATAGCTTAAGTGAGAAGTGATAAGTGAGAAGCCGATCACACGCGCGCTCAAGGCCCACGTGACTTTGACAGCATGAAGGAGCAAATGAAGTGTCCCATATTAAGAGTCGAGGAAAATAAGACCATGGACCGTTGAAGTGTGAATGGATTGTATGAGGGGGTAGAGTCCCCGACCACCCCCTAAGATTAGCCCTTCGGCCCTCAACCCCTCCGGGGAAATGGGTCGGGGCAATGACCTTGGTAACCCTAAGAACCCGTGAACGGGTCAAAAATCCATTCTGTGATAATGAAACATCAGCTATAAATAGATTATGTTTCAACTGTAGCTTTGCAACCGTTGGCTGTAACTGAATCGGATCGATTCTTGGAACTAGTTCTCAAGGCGAGCTCCTCTTGACAAAACTTTGGAATCTGGAGATGAAAAAATCTGCACCCTATCATTGTAAAAAAAAATAATAATTTTCTGTCATTACTCGATCAATACAAGACCTTGCAGCTGTCTCAAGCTGTAGGAGCTCAAATAGATCATTTAATGCCCTGTCAGCTCAGTTGAACCAAGGATACAGAAAATACTTTCTGTAAACCGAGAGATTTCATATCGAAGAGAGTTTCTCTAATTTTTTCCATTTAAGCATGAAGTAGCTTTCAACTCTGTGAATAAACTAGTCAAAATGTTAGTCTTAATTATTGAATTTTAATTATTGTTGTTAGTGCAGTCATGGTCTGGTAATCTGTCTAGTTGACTGAAAGGGTTGAAAACCACAGCTCAAGAGAGTAGACAAAGGTGTAAGAAAGTTTACCTTGGGTGTGGCAGAGCGAGGAGGTGCCGGGTATTTGGGATAGAAGGCAGTGGGAATGGTGAAGGGATTCGGCCACTCCGACTTGGACTCCGTGTGTCCATAGTATTTTTCCCACAGTTCGTCGGCTGCATTGCTCATCCCCCCCACTCCCCCTTCGCCTTCCAGCACGTACGGGAGCGATAACACCGACCAACTCCCCGAACTCGTGCTCGTCTCACTCTGCAAGAGAGAAAATATAATAATTTTTTCTGACCGTAATCGGAATTTTCATTCTCGAAACGTCGTGTAGAATTCATTTCATGGGATATTCACCGTAAAATCATTATCTGAAAATATGAGGCTTAATATCTCATTTTCCAGATCGAATTATCTTCGAATGAGTTCATGATAGATGGAACGCACACAAACCAAGGGTGTGTTTTATGAGTCTGTCGCTCTTAGAATGGAAGTACTGGAAAGAGTTCGGCAAAACATGCTTTTTTCAAAAGCGAGTGAATAAATGCCTCAAGGCACGTCTATTCCACTTAACGTAGGATAATAATTTAAAAACGTAATTACAGTACATGACTGGGAAAATGCATATATCAAATGGATGTTCTGAACTGCACGTTGAAGGAGGTCTAACTCCTCGGTCTAACCCGAATCGACGGTCTCCGAGACCAATCGGTTACTCAGGGGAAAGGGCCGTGTGTCTTTTTGTGTTTGTGGGAACCCGTTGCAAAACTCCTGAGAGAGAGGGATGAACTGTCAGTGCCGGAGACAATGAGGACTCAGATCACGTGTTTTTAAATCGTGTTTGAGCGACCTTGACAGAGGATGCCGCCACTTTCACTCCATCCATCTTCAACGTGCCGGAAAGGTCAAGCGCGATACGGACAGACACACATTCCTCGGGTACTACCAAAATATAAAAATAAAAATCTCCTCCGTTTCCCAGCGGCTTAGTCTCGGTACTTCACAATTTCATTCACAAATTTTGAAGTATAAAAACACATATGTATACATCCCGAGATAGAACCGATTGCGAAATCAGGTCTTATATCGTGAATCTTTTCTTTCGAGAAGTGGATCGCTACCGCGAATGTAGGTCAAAGTGAGTCAGCAAGGGAAGATTGAATCCCTAAAACGTGAGCACCGGATCAAGAAAAACCTTTTCTTTAAATGCCTGCAGGCTTCACGAAAAGGTCGGATACCATGGGAACAATTCACGATATTTACAAGAGGATAGTGAGCAAAAACTAGTTGTACAACTGTCACGGATTCTCTCTGCACTGAATATAGGCACCGGCGATAATGGTCTTCGGCAATGATGGAACAAGAAGCTACCTACTGGGTTTCGAATTGTTTTTCATATTCTGCAGGGAACAAACTGGGTATTCTACTTTTTCATTATTTTACTCTCGCATAGAATTGTGATTGAACTAGTAAATTGTCAGACAGACTACTACTAACGTTAGAAGCAACAGCTTGTTCCCAAAAGCCCTTTTCGACATCCAGTCCCATATTTAGGTTCAGATTAGTTTGGTGGTAAAACAGATTTTGGAGAAATGAAATTTTATGACAACGAGATTTTGCATGCGATCTCCATTTCATCCGATGTGCGATAAGAAGTTCTCTAGGAATCATGAAATCCCAATATCCCTGGCATGTTAAGGAAAAGTGAAATTCCTTTCTGTCAAAGAACAAAATGAGCTCCCTTCAATATTTCGTGAGACTTTTGCTTTGCGAAACCTTTCTAGCTTCAATGGAATAACAGCAATGGAATCCAATAACAGCTTCCAGAAAACCAGCTCGTAATTCCGTAAGTTTCCCGTAAGTTTATGAGAGTATAACGATCTCACTTCCTAGTGGGGGGTTTCAAAACATTTTTAATAGGCGAATATGCACGTGTTCCTCTCGGAAGGAGGGAGGATGGAAATAGTGTTGAGTAACGATAGAGAGAAAAAAATATCTCGTCATCCTGCAAGAGGAAGAATTCCATGCATTCCAGTCCATGCTTCAATGGCCATCATATATCACAAAGATGGAAGAAGAGAGACGATGGGGTCGTCCTTGACCGAGAAGAGAGGAACCTCCTGACCCCTCTTTCCTCCCAGATTCCCATCGGAGCCGTATTTCATTCTCCCAAGATCCCAAGAAGGATACATAACAATATAATACATGGCGGGACTGAAGGAAAGAAATACGGGACGGAAAGTGCAAAAGTCATACACTGATATACCGTCTCCTCAGTAGAAAAGCAGGTTGCTTTTGAGAAGAATGAATAAAATAAAAAGGGCCAGTGGTTCGTCTTACGATTCCTTATAACAGGTCGGACACAACAGAGAAGAGTCAAACGAAGTCCTGCTTCTTCGATATGATTTCAGGGGCATGTTCCAAAGAAGATTTAAAAGTTTCACGTACTTACAAGGGTCGTGTCCCATTGTTTAATTCTTCTAGTGGGTCCTACTGACCCTTCACACGCCCAAGACACAACCCTTGTAGATACTAGTAATTTGTAGCTTGTAAATCTTCTGTGAAACAGACCCCAGAACAAGAGTCATTATCCGAGATGGAAAAGTAATTGCTTGGACTGGTTTATTTCCTTCCCATGCGATCTTTAGAATTTTCAGGTTAAAGGATTGATCTCAGGCCATGGACAGCAAATATTTCGCCAAAAAGATAGTACATTGTTTGAAATTTCAGTTTTTCATGGACAGTCTGAGAGATCTTCAAATATTTTACATTAAAATTTTAAAGTGGAGAGACTCCAATCTAGTGGGGAAAAAAGTGTAGCTCACGAATTTTACCAAATGGTCCCCATTTTTCCCTTCGCCTGGCGCCATTTAGGTCCGTCGGTGTGGACTCGTGTCACGGGCTGGTGAGAAATCCGCCAGGTGTTCCCGGTATATCTCCAACTATCTTTCTTTTGTCCTAGTTCTATTTGTTTTTTCCTCGTACGGAGAGAGGGAAATCCTAAAGGTCGAGCACGATTATTTGATCGACCTTGATGAAGTCCGGCATGAATCGAGGCGTAAAATGTCAATCCTTTGTCTGGGGTCTGGAAGGTCTTCGTAGAACACGTACCGGCCTTCGAATCCGATTCCGAATATCTATGCCCAAAAGAGTGTTGCAATCTGGGAATCTCCAAAAATTATATGCAGGGCGCGGTCATTACATCTTGTGAAAATATGACAATTACCGGTCGGAAGACACGGAATTTCTCCCACTTTCACGTCAATTCCGAACGAGACCCTGTTAATCATCGAGAAGGAGGGAATGCCCTCGGGGCATTATTATTATTATGCAAAAATGAAATTTCTGACAATAAAGTTGTCAACAGTATCCGCCTGAAATCGATCATTCGTATTCATCCGGCCATGGCTGACGGGGAGTCCTCAGAGAATATTTATTTACTTTTTTTTTTCCTTGGGTAAAGTATCCAGCGGACAAGGAAAAAACATCAGCCACAGAAGTGGCTGGTATGATGAGGGTCAAGGCTAGACGGGGAGGATCCATCCACCATCTCGATTGCTTTTCCCTGTCTCGATTACCATATTTGGATGCACGTCTCGGACGGTGTGAAGGGAAAGTGAGGCCCTTGACATTATTCCTGCCCTGAGTCACTGCCCAGTCGCCCTCTCAATCCAATTTAAAATTCAGAATTTCTTCTGAAGCTCTCGGAAAATGACAAATTCTGCAAATATTTCCACCACTTTTTTCTAATTTTATACTCCTCAAGACATATCTCATTTCAACCCTTTTTACTCCTCCCAGACTCCGATGCGTCCGTTTGCAAAAGGATTGCGTGCTCCCTTCTTATCGAAGCTATTTTAAAACTTCGTCTTGTATCGCATTTGACACCGGCAAATTATGAAGCAGTTTTGAGAAACGGACATTTAATCAGTAAGAAAAAATACGGAAGGAGGATAACATCTTTTTTTTCCTCTCCAAAAACCGGAACCTGTCACATTGGCGCCTGGGATGAAGATGTCATGTCGATGTAAAACAAAAAAACTTGAAATATGATCTTTTTTTCCAACAAGAGGAAGAAGGTAACGCCTCGTCTCCCCAACAACATTCCAAGGCAGGAATAAAAAGTCCTTGAGAGAGGAAAATGTGTTACAGTGTGTGCATAGAGGAATTCTTTGGCAGTTCTTTGCCCCCTCGTCCAAGTCGTGAAGGTCGAGTCCCAAAAAAAGGTTACCCAATCGACTCGTCCCTTCATAAAAAAAAGCGGCACAATGACTGAGCAAATAATATCGCGAGAATGAGGCATTCATTCTTCTGCCTGTAGTAAATCATCCTCTTCCCCTTGGCATAAAACATATAATGACGTCGCGGGGGGTGGAGGGGGAGAACAAGTGGGAGGTTAATATACAGACTTCACTTCCGTCATCCTACTCACGTACCACACAATAATAGACTGGAGAGCAAGATGTATCTCTATAAGGCAAGAAAATTGGGTTTCAGAGGGTGTTTTTAAGGTGTCAAAAATTTCAAGGTCGGGAAGCATCAGGGAAACATCCCCTGCATTTCCCCAGGACTAGAGGGAATTGTACTTGGGTAGGTACAATGCCACCTGACGATTTTTCCATTTCCACCTTGATACATACAGATGATATAGGTTCAAATACTTCAAAAGCTATAAACTGATTTTTTTCGCTCACAACTTTTGTCATTCTATGTTAAAATATGCGCATGCCCTAAATGTACGTCACAAAATAGAAAACTTTCCGCTAAAAATAAAACAGGGAGAAATGCAATCCTGTTAGATATTTCGATTGGAAGCTGGTATCCGTGTCATCTAATGCTTCGATATCCTGGTGTTCATTCGCATTCTCGTCAAGAGACAGAATTGAAGAAGAAAGCTCTTACATGGAATCCATCAAAACAGCTCATAACCACTCCAGTCATTTCGTGTAATCATTTTCATCATTTTCTCATTTTCTTGCCATTTCGACACGAAATTTCTCAGCCTCTCAGGCCAAGGTCTAGAAGGAAAGAGAGGCGACAATATGATGCAACAGGAAAAGAAGAGAAAAAACATTCATTCGCCTTTTCGAACGGTAATCGTCTTCATTTTCATATAGTCATGTGTCATAATGATAGCGGTGACCGGGGATGTTTCCAACTCTTTGGCGCCGTGTCTTTCGTAACGTGGCGGCGCCCTTTAGTGAAAGTCAAGGTAACACTGGGCTACTTGAGGCAATTGATAGTGCCTCAGCACTTTTTAAACGAGTGTCCTGGTTTTCGGGAATCTCTCACTTCTCCAGCGCGTGCCTCGAAAGGGATTTTGAAAAGCTTAATCAAAAGAAAAAAATTGACCAAAGCAGCATCGAAAACCGAAATTTCATGCGCTGGGTGCTATTGTTCCTGATGCGACAGCAGAGTAATGCATTTTGCACGTATCTTCTCTCTCGCTAAGATAAAGCTTCTAAAAGCATAAGTAAATATGTGAACGATTTGAAGGCTCAATTTCAAACTCTCAATTATTGGATGATCTTTTCTTTGAGTTCTGAGAGTAAAAAATTCAAGACGAGTACCAAAAACTCTTGGAAAACTTCAAATAATCCAAAAATACTTTGTCAAATCCACAGAACTTTTCCTTCACTATTCCAGAAATATTTCTTATTCAGGCAGTGATAATTTTTTTTTGTTCGTGGAAACTTAATGAAATGAATCTGGCTGAGGGGACAGCAGAGGGCTATAGATGCATAGTTCAAAGGTCTACTTTACGATATCTGAAGTAAAATTCCAGGATGAAACATTGATCATTGTCTTTGTTTCGATTTTCGATATATATGCCTGCATATATTTCAAATGTAAATTTGTTAGCACAATAAAAAATCTGAATTGTCAGTCGCCAAGAAATAAGGTCAAACTTTACCTGTCAACTTTCGATAATTATGTTTGTCATAAACTATAAAAAAAAGGAAGAAAAAGAGTAGGTTACATCTGGAAGTGTCTCGAACCAAGAACTTTTAGAACGCCCCTCGTTGGTTTTTTTCCCCCACAGACTGGAAAAATGGCAATGAAGGGAGAAATGACTGACCTGGTAGACGTCTTTGAGGGCATTGAAGACCCCTCGATCCTGAGAAGTTACACTGCCATCCTCCATCCTCTGATATGCATGTCCTACCCCCAGGGAGGTAAAACTGTATCGATTGGAGGATATCCCCCCTCCAGAACTGCCTGAAGAGGCCATCGCGCTGTTTCCGCGCACCAACGACAATCGATCTTCCCCAAGAGAACTCCCTAGACGACGTAGAGTCAAAATGACTCTATCGTACCATTCCCTCAACACTGGCGCCTGCTGCTCCTTGTTCCATGACGATTGGATTAAAGGATTCTCCCGGGTTAGGTTTTGGTAGAATTCCGCTAGTACCTCTTCCGGTACCACGAGTTCTGTCTCCGGTACCTTTTCCGGTTCTGAGTACACGCCTTGGGCACTGGTTAGTTCCAGAAGTGAGTCCGTCACCAGGGAATCCAAGGGCTGGAGGTAATGCACTTCCCCGTAACAGGTTTTCACCGGAGAACCTAAATTTGAACCGGGAACGGATCGCAGTACGTGAAAAGTCTTTTCCGGTACCAAGTACGGGGATTTCTGAACTTTTTCTTTCACGTGGGGACGACTGAGTAGCGTGAGATTGGGATGAGGAGGAGGGAGAGTAAAGTATTTGTCTTTCTCACTGAACGTTAAGGAGCGGAAGTTGCTAGTCTCTATCCCGACAGAATAGAGATATTGGGTGTTAATCAGAACGATCGGCCGTGGTCGAGGATCAAAGTGAAATTCCTTGAAGTACACAGGATTGGCACGAATCGTCCACCGCTTGCCTCCGACGATCAACGTGAAACACTGGAGATATGAGTCTTCTCGAAAGTTGCTATTCACGTTGCTCATTCGAAGAGGGGCATTTCCTTTCTCCTCGTCGTTCTCGATCTCCTCATATATAGGGTTCTCCCTAAGAAGAAAGAGGACATCATCATATTCTTTATGTTTTCAAGGTCCGACTGCGAGAACAATCCCATTGTGTTCTTTTATAATGGCCTTCCTGTGTTAGCTTTGTAGTTTACGGGACGATAAGCACATGGAGTACTTTTCGAGGTGTGCTTTCATTAAGTATTTCTTCCCATGCCCCAACCCCGTGACCACATGTTCGACCGCAACGCGGTGCATACGAAACGGACGCTATATAATGTGGCCTTCGTCTGCCCCAATTACATCACGAATGGAATGAAGATTCGTGGGGAATGAACCCCTTGAGATTTCCCTGGAGCAGAACCAATATTCTCATTAACTTAAAAACGGACAGCTGATGCAATCGATTCGTGCCTTTATACCTTTAGGAAGGACACGAAAGAAATTACCGCCTCCGGATTATGCGAAAGCCGAATAGAGGGAAGGAGTACCCATACAATAGGAAAAGGTATTTCTTGCTTACTAGCGTGATGGCTTGCGACAAATTTTAGGATTTCAATCAACCTTTTTTAAGGTCTCTTTTCTAGGCTATTTTAGCACAGTAACAGTCATAATCTGCAAAATAATCCCTATCTCACTATTCGTAGCTAGCCAATAGCAGCCCCGATTTTATTCGACAGTGTAGTCAGGAAGTCCCTTAACCCCTTGGATACTATATGTCCAAGGGATCTGTGTGAACTGCATCATTGTCGCGACATGAGGATGATACGTCGCCATGTCCTGTGAGAGATCTTTCTAAGAATTGTGGGTTACTGTTGCGAATGTTTCACGAACAGCATCTCGCAACTAAATATGTTGTCCTGGAGCGCCATATGAGGATGCCTACTGCGAACTTGCAAGTCTTTTTTCATGTGAGTTTGGCATTTCAAGATCTTGGAATGCCAAACTACGTATCTCTTTCGAGTTGATCTTAAAGGAGAGCAACTTATTGATTATTTGACTGTAGCGCAAGTTTGTCGACGTGTTGACGTTCTACTACAGTGCAACAGGTCTTTGATGCTATCAGTGGTGTAGAGTTTTTTTTCCCAAACTCAACAACGTTAAACCTTGCCAAGTCTTTCTTGCAGGGTATGAATAATGGCTGAGAGTCAATATAACTTAGAAGAACGTTTCATTGCTGGAACGGGGGTGCACAAACGTCGTAACACAGGGGACACGATAGATACCATTAACTCTGCTATTGGCTAGCTACGAATAGTGAGATAGGGATTATTTTGCAGATTATGACTGTTACTGTGCTAAAATAGGCTGGTCGTCAACGTGTTAATGGTATCTATCGTGTCCCCTGTGTTACGACGTTTGTGCACCCCCGTTCCAGCAATGAAACGTTCTTCTAAGTTATATTGACTCTCAGCCATTATTCATACCCTGCAAGAAAGAAAAATGCAACTATAAGTACTATAACATAGGGTAAAGGGACTTCCTGGTCACCCTGCATATCGGTTGTCATATTCACCGTTGTGGTTTGGGTGGTTTCTCTCTCTTTTGGGCATGCATCTCATGAACGAATGCGTGAGTGAAAGATTTGTAATGTTCAAAATAGGTTGGATACACGTTACGATTGCACACACCATGGGAGAAAGGATAAGAGGATAGTTTCGAGGATAGTTTCACCACTGCCCCTTTCTTTGCTAGCAAAAGATGGCATAGATTGTTTTACCTCCGAAAAAAATTGACAAAAAAAGAAGTTGAAGATGTCACCTGAATGTGGGGGGACGAAAATGCAACTATCCTCTAGACTGGGACTGAACTTTTTAAAAATTCCCGTTACCCCTTCTCCTCGAGAGGGCTTTGGGGGTACTCACCGAGGCGAGAATCCGTGAAACACTGGCTCTTGCCAAGCTGAAAAAATCGAGCCGAGTTCACAGGAGGAAGAATGGAGGGAAGAGAAACTCGCCACCGTTCAAGGGCGCTTTCCCTTTCGGACTGAGCGGGTGGAGAGGAGAGACCGAGAGAGAAGAGTTCTTTTCTCGGTCACATGACCATGCCCCCGGGATACGGCCCAATACCCTTGCTTTTTCCCATGTACCCGCCTTATCCCTAATCTGGCTCCTTCTGCCACGTTCCTCTCCGACCCTACCTTTACTCGCCGAGGTACATGACTTCTTACCCCTTCTACACTCTTTCCTCACTCCCCGAAAGTTCCTTCGCTCGAGGTTAAATACGTCCCTAAACAAAGATTAATACAGAGAGGCAGTCGTAGAACAGGGGCGGTCCATTTAAAAGTTTATCAGGCATTACACTCTGCACCAGACAATATTGTTGGAAATTAAAATCCCCCCTACTCAAATGAACAAGTGATAAGCATTGGGGCTCGTGACCTTCAACGTGACCTAAACACACACAAGTCTACTATTCAATAGGCATGAGCTTTTGTTTACTCCCGATTAACTTTAAATTGACCCTCCGGTACGTTCTTATGCCACAACACTCTCGGTTCGGAAATGGAACCCAACAGTCACATAGGGCAAAAATACCTTTGGACTCATCCTTTAATAAAAGGAGAAAACCCACTTGGAATAGTTACGACTTGATAAAGACGTCTCAGTTTATCTGTTTGAAGTCGTGCGTTGTTGGAGCAGGAATTGTCGGGAGCTCCGGTAACTCTAAGTAATACCGAAGCTCAGGTCCTGTTCCTCAATGCCTTCCATGTTACTATTTTACGCATTATGGATCCAAAATATTTGACAAGAAACTGACAATGCTATGTATACGCCCGTAAATCAGGATTTTTAAAATCAAATATCGCACTAAAGAAATTTGAGGGGGGAGGGGGAGCTGGCTTCTTGGAACATGTGTAATTATGTACAAATTACAGTGAACTCCGATGAGCACCGATACTTCATTTCCTGAAAATTAAATGCTGACTTGAAGCAATCATTGTGGTCTCAATGGTTCGCACTCGTTTCTAGTGAAATGAATGAAGAATTTGTGACAGACTGCTGCTTCCGAATTTAAGCTTACAAGCCTGGAAATGGAAAGTTATCACTCAGCATCTCTTGCGGGAAATCTGATCTTTGGAAAATTGTCAAATTTGTAAAAATGTTTGATTTATCAGTATTTAGGCATTATCACGGGCCACTTCGTTTGGATTTGGGTCCTAAGGTATGAAACGAGGGGGATGCTGAAGGGCAAAGTCGTGGGAGTAAACGAAGAGAGTTAAGAAGGGGGAAAAAAATTAAGTTTCCGCTCTGTTGAACCCTCCGTCCCAAATGGGGACACCGGTGGCAACACCCACTAATCCCCGGCGTTGACAATCTAACGGTGTCCCTCTCCTCCTTCTCACGATCCCTTTGACGAAATTCTCAAGGACGCTGAGGACGAAAATGGTCATGATGATGATGATGATGATGATGGCCCTTTCACGCCCGGCTTCTGTAAGTCGAATGTGCCTGACCTTTTGCCCTCGTGCACGACATTCTCCCGTTCGCAAGGACGTAGATTTCATCAGGAGGAATTCAATGACTGGACACGCATTCCTCTTCCACTACACGAAAACTCTTAGAAGTCTGAAACTCAATAATGGACTATTCTTCATGAGACCAAAAAGTTTCTGTTTTTCTAATGACGGTAAACAGTTGGTAAACAGATGGCATAACAGACTGTAGTCAGTACTATTATGGAATAAAACGTCTTAATGAAGACCTTTAAGTATTAATTGGCTTAGGGCAGAAAATTCTCCGAGTTAGTCCCAGACTTCCCCCAACAGAAAGAATTAGTTTTTCTCGTAAACAATGATCAAACCCAGTTATTCTGACTGGTAGGATTGCGACATAATGCTAATTACAATGACATGCAAGATGAAATAATGACGTCATAGGCTTTTTTGCGTTATTGGATTTTTATGGAACGTAGGATTCTTAGGCGGTTTGACGGAATAGGAAAGGAGGACACGCACGCATTGATGGATCGTGAGAAAATCTCACCTCCATCCTCGATTCATCCATTCAAGCAACGTTGATGGATCGTGAAAAGCCAGACTCCGCAAAGCACGGCTTTCAAATGCTTGTCAGATCTTTCATCGTGAATGAGCTACACGATTTTACGCCCAGAGGGTAAGATGGAAAAGTCAGCTTATAGTAGTCCTTTTTGTCTTCAGCATAAAGACAATATTTAAGCTCTTGTTAATTACACCAAGACCTTGAGCATGGAATCTCCTCCCAATCGCTATGATTGTTGCCTAGGCACGCTTCCAGTGAATATAGAGATGACACGGCAAACCCTGACGAACGAGATATGATTGCCCTCAGACATTCGCTGTTTTGGATGAGAAATGCTTTACACGAAAGGGTCTATTGAAAGATTTTTCCCTTCACATCTTGAGAAGCGAGTTATCAGAGGATGGTGGTGCTGTTGCTGATGATGATGATGGAAAAGATCGGCAGAGCGCAACGAAGCGCTTCGATAACTATGCTAACCTTGACTGGATTGTCTATCGGGTGGAAAAAGTAATGAAAAGCAAAAAGAGAGGAGACAGAAAAATAAAAGGAATCCAGGTCGATGAAAGAAGCACTTGACCTTCGGGTCGAGAGGACTCAGGCAATCGCCTCGTTGTAAATGTAGGGATCCTAGGGTGTATGATAGATAATTGGGTGGGAGGAGGGAGGACCCTCGTCGCGTGACTTCATGAAAGTAAAAAAATAAAAACGAAAGAAATAAAAAACCGGACTTCTCGATGAAGTAATTAAAAATATCATGATCGATCATGACACGGAGACATCTTAGCTTTGTACCATTATAAAAGGTTCCTCCAAGAAAAAGCTCCACAAATCTCACGTTCTGAGTTCATATTTCTGAGTTCTGAGTTATTTATTTGAAAAGATGTAACGAACGCAATTACTCCTAGAGCATTCTGCAAGTTCTGTAGTTGCACTTCTCCCAATCAAATACAGACCTGTATATGCTGATAAGAAAAAAATCACCTCGATGTCAATGCAAGTCTGCGAATAATATGAATATGAATTCTATTGGCATTTATCCGAGAAGTGGGCAACTATCACTGGGAGACGGGGAAGCTGATTCGTTTCTCCCATAAAATCTTTTATGGACTTTCACGAAGCCTTTACAAACTCCTTTCCTGATTGCTGAATGGTCGACTGTTTCATGATAGAGCTAAGTAGGAATTGGAAGTACAGTGAAAACTCGTTAACTCGAACTTTTGGGGACCGGGCAAATCGTTTCGAGTTATCCGAAGTTCGAGTTATCAGGAATCGCCCCCCCCCNAAAAGTCCCAAGAGAAAAATTTTTCCCCCCTTCTCACCCTGAATTCGAGTTAACCGTGAGAAATTCGTTATCGGGAGTGAAAATTTCATTCGAGATATCCGGAAATTCGAGATAAGCGAATTCGAGTTAAACGGAGCATTTAACATGGTGTCCTACGGGGTTCCGCCGGGACCAAGCTTTGAACTTCGAGATAAGCGGAATTTCGACTATCAGGATTCGAGTTAACGAGTTTTCACTGTATATTTCTTAGACGTAGTTTCTTTTCGTATATGGTGCATGAAGAGACTACAAGAACAGAATTGGAGAATAGAAGAAGTCGGGAATATCCGACTTTCAGCACAGTGTATGAGACATCCGGCTTCCTTGAAAAGTCCCTGAGGGTCGTCAATGCCGATCGACGTTCTACTGAAAACAATCAACACACAATGGTCAAAACAAGACATTCCATTTGGATCCATCGCAACTATCCAGGCCTTGAACGCGACCATCTGCTCACAGTTCTTTGTAGCAAAAGTGTACAACTAAGTTTGTCGACGGGGCTTATTGACGGGGTGCGACGATAAGACGAGGTTTGAATAATGCTATGCAGTGGTGTGATTAGGGGTTTACGGGGGTTCACGGTGCATGCTTAAATGAAATTTTCCGAGGAGAGAGAGAATTCTTAAACTATCTTCGGGGAGAGAATTCTGTCTGCATAGCATACACATAGGCTCTATCAGAATTTGCAAAACATCGTTAGTTGTATGCCTCATTTCTTTCAGTTCTTTTAAGAAATCTGGTCCTTTTGTATTTGAAAGTCGTATTTTGTATTTTTTGTATTTGAGTATATCGACGCAACATCAACTTGAGGTGCAGACATAAAGAAAAGTCTGTAGGGGTCTGTTGATTTTTGGTCTCACCATTATTTGTTCATGAAATGTATTGTCCTTCGGAGTAAATGCTGCAGCTCGGAGTGGCGACCGAAGCAAGGTAATGTATCCCTCATGATTTTTTTTCGAATGAGAAGAAACCGGAGGACAAAGCAACCTGAAGCCATTGTCTTCTAATGGCATCGAATAAGGTGTATCGAGTACACTCATCTGCTCAGCGCACTCTTCAGCCTGAGGGCAGTCAGCTATTATGGAACTCTCTCTCCAGCAGCACCTGACACTTGACAGCCTCGTACAACAAGGATAAGACTCGACTTAAAAAAAGAGTAGCTGGCATCCGTTCGATACCTTCCTAAACCCCTCCATGACAAACAATACTTCCATCAGGACTTCTAGGTTACTACG